CCCCACCCCCCACCCCTACCCCACCCGACTACTTTCTGGCTCAACCAACACTACTGCCTCCCCCATTTGATGAAAACCCCAGGAAGGCTTTGTGAGGTTCATTAAGTCAGCATAGGAAATGTATTAAATAACAGAAAAGGGCTGGGAGCTATTGAATGTTGACATAACCTTTCTTTTTTTTTTCCTTATGTGGTAGAGCTTCTTATGGAAAATGTGTGTATTACTCAGTCTCATTAATAAGAAGTCAGATCAGTCAGAACAAGACATAATGAAGGACTGGGCTTGCGTTTTCCTTTAAGTTCTGTAATTGACTTAAAAGGGTGAATGACTTTGTCTACTTGCCATTAAATKTTTTTTTTTTTTTTTGGACCACTCTTGGGTCAAATGCCGTGTCTACAAATTGCAAGAGTTTGCCGCAGGTTGTTCAAAACCGTCCAGTACTTTTACGCTTTAAATTTGGCAGGGTTTGCATGAGGAACTATTGACCCTAAAATTAATGTAGGAAAGAAGGAATTAGCCATTTAATCAGACAATTAGCAGCTCAAGAAATTAACCTTGTTTCAATGTGATAACTCCAACAAACCACTGTATAAAAGTGGCTCAGTGTTGGCTTGTCAAACATGTTAGAGGGAAGGGCAATGTGGTTGGTGTGCTGTTAGAGTTAGTGTTCATTTCTGCCTTATTCAGTAAGATCTGCACTGACTGCTGCACATGCATAATGCATGAGTGTGTCCATATGCACTTGTGTCACCATGCCTGCCCTTGWAGAAATGCATCAAGCACTAAAATAATTACATTTCACTTTGCCAGCCTCATTTTTGTATATTTGCCTGTGATAGTTATTAGGATGAGTTATTCTTCATCAATATTATTGTGAGTTTKTTTAAATGTTGCATTTAACCTTTTGGTGACAACTGCTCATTTCAAACTATATTTTTTTAAGGACAAACTCCCATGTGATCAATTTGAAGTGCAGAAGAATGCACTGGAGTTTTGTTGTTTCACATTTGAAAAAGGCTTGCATATTTTATTTTATTTTATTTTATTTTATTTTATTTTATTTTATTTGTGTACTTTTTAATATTCCCATTATTAGTTATGGCCAACATATATTTAAGTTTTTATGTGGAGATTTTACAAGATTTCAAAAATGAAGCACTTTCTTTATCCTACTGTCGTTTGTTTAAGTTCATGGAAGTGATTAAATTTTATTTTCACCATTCTCATTTTAGAAACAAATGAATAATGTCATGAGTAGAAATGAATTTTTGTTTTACTTTATAGATGCTCTTCAATAATAGCAATGTCATGCTTTTCTATCTTTGCTGTAAAGTTCCAGAAGCARTGAGCTCTCATTTGAACCAAACTTTTTTTTTTACTTCTGGAACCTACTTTAAAAAATGTGCCTGAATTGTCAAATATAGTGAGAAGGTGTCAAACACAACAGTTCCTTTGTGAACAACATGAAGATGCAGTTTGATAGCATACAAAATAAAGGAAGTTCCAGGGTCTTCTGGCAAACAAGCTCTCTGCTGGWGTTTGGTTGTCTGTCAGAAACAATGAACGTGTGTCTGATCCAAAGGCGAGTTGTGCGTAAAACAAAGTTATCTGTGCGCATTTAAACATGACACTTCTAAGAACTTGGACCACGGGCATCCTGTCCACTTCATCTCTATGAAAACGTCTCTGATGGTGGGGGGAGATCTCCGACCACCACATGTGGTTCTTTAGCGCCCCTCGGAGAGAAAGCCAGTAATCGCAGATGGCTCTCTTGGGGAGTGGGCGCAATTCATCAGTCAGGGAAAGTCAGGACACTGCGCGATTTGGCTTAAGGTTTCAGTCTTGACAACAACCGCTGCAGACAAACACGAGAGGATCATATGATTCAGCATTCAGTGGAAATCATYATCACTGCCACTTTCAATACAAATAAATGCAGCCCATTGGGAAAATACCCCCCCCCCCCTTCTGTTACTCCTTTTTTTCTTCTTTCTCTCCTGTCCCAGCTCCACTCAAAGGGAGAAGGCACAGCTTGGTGATGTTTAGAGAAGAGTGTGTTGCTCCGGTTGAGCTGCGGATTTAATAAAGCTTGAAAATATATACATATATTTTTCTAGTTTCATTGACTGTGAGGCAACATCGTTCCGTATCCCATCCTTCAAGTGAGCATCATTCAATTAAAATGCAACTC